CTACGTTTGCTCTGCGAATGTTTGAAAGCCGTTTAATTCGCCGTTAGCGGTTCTTTTCACTCATTTTCCTTCTTCCGTGCTTCTATTTGTGAATCCGATAATGCAACAGGAATGTACCATTATCGGGGATAAATACGCGAGGTTACGCACTGTGTTTGACGCTATCCTGTTTCTTGCCCCCGACCAAAATATTTCCCAGCATGCAACGCGGGCTTTTAATAACAATGACGTCAGCTGAAACTCGCCTATCACAGGGTATTCGTGAAGGCCCAGATGATTTCCTGACATGATCAAACTGAGTTACAACAACTTTACAAGATACCTGTTGGACAAGTGACTTTAAAACTGAATGTGTTATTTATTTATTTATCTATTCGTGAAGGCCCAGATGATTTCCTGACATGATCCCGCCCATAACTCAATGAAATATGACTGGCTCACACAACTGTCAATCTCAAACTTCGTCCCAGCCACCGAAGGTCCTGCAGGTGTTTGTTTAGTTCAGTGCTGCAGGGGGAGTCACTGATTTTACCCAGGTACCACTGGAAGAAAAAATGTGATTGGTCCATTTCCATTCCATTATATTAACCCTTTGTTTCCCAAGAAATATCAGTCCAAGTTTATAACAATGATCTAGAAATTATTACTAGTGTAGTGTTTATTACTCACTGAATAAAAAATACTGAAAAAATATATTAGTAGTACAAAAATTCATTCAGTTGAAGTGGCTCGGGCATCTGTTCTGGATGCCTCCTGGGCGCCTCCCCCGGCCCCCCGGAGGAGCTGGACGACGTGTCTGGGGTGAAGGATGTCTGGGAGTCTCTGCTTAGACTGTTGCCCCCGTGACCCGGCCCCGGATAAGCGGAAGAAAATGGATGGATGGATGGAAAATTCATTCAATATTTTGTTCTTGAGCCTTCAGAATACCTTCCCCTCTGAAAGAAATGCTGTTTGAACGACCAATGTTTGGCTCTTTCGTTTACATTTCCAATAAAAATGCACTATACAAACACTATACTTTTTAATTCATTAAAGGTTGTATAGAGGATTTTTTTAAGGAAAGAGAAATCCAGCAACAGTCCTTGACACCACCTTCCTCCTCCACTGCTCCCTCTAGAAATAATTTAGAGACCGACACCTCAGTTTTTAGACCCTTTGTCTGCTTCAGTCACGCAGTCACTGGAAGGAATCTCCAAGAATCACCTCAGTTTGTCTTCGCTCCTTTTCTCCTTCTCTTCGTCTTTCAGCGACCTCAAAAACCGACTTTCTTTTGCGGCAAACTGGTCGTGGATTCTCATCCGACATCGCAACAAACTTTATGCGAACTGCGAGAGCCACAATTAGAAAAAGCCTCTAAGACCCGCTGCATAGTTACCTTAGAAACGTAGGGAGATTGACTGACAACCTGACAGCCAATAGAAAATGAGGCAGCCTCGTTTTCTATTGGCTGATGTTTATCTGGCCTCAACACGTCCAAAGTTGATAGATTTTCTTTCTTTTTTTTTTTGGGTCATGATAATTACAAAGCTGCTGCGTCTCTGTAATGGTAGTTTTAAACTTTCATTGACAATTTGAAACAAACAAAAAAATCCTCCATACAACCTTTAATTGGTTTTGCGTATAACATGTGATTAATGCCATTAATGTATATATATTTTTTGCCCTGCCCTAGTTTTGTGTAAATGTCGCCACACACTACAAGAGAATTTGCCAGATTTTGGATTCGATTCGCTTCTCCTCGAGTTTGGGGAGACAGGACCCGACTTTCTGTCTTCATGTATGATTTTAAAACCACTGCGCTCCTCGTGTGTGTGGTGTCAGCGTGACTCTGAAATCAAAAACTGAAAAAATGAATTGTTATCCCTTTTTTCAGTTTGTTTTTTTTCTTATTTTTGGTTTTATACTGAAAAACGAATGAACGAATGACACACGGATTAAATACAAATACAAGAAAACACCTTTATGTAGATGTAGATATGTAGATTTTGTAGAAAGTCAAGTCTGAAGTCTCCGAAAAAATGATTATGTGTAAAATGACGAATTTCTGGATAGAATTCTCCCAGTGTGATGTTCCAGAGCTCTCTACTTCCTGTAATTTTCAACATATTTTTCAACTTTTCTTTGCAAATTGCTTCTTGATTGGTGTAAAACTATCATTTATCATCACAATAGTTATAATCAAACCAAATTGTGTCCAAATTAGAAAGTAATAAAAATCCGCCATACGCACTTTCTGTCTGTTGTATTTTTTGGGCTATTTCATAAAGTCGTGGCAGCTCTACACTTTTGTTACTTATTTACACAAAGAAAATGTGTTTATATATTTGACATATTCAGTGTTTTCATTACTAAAATTTGACAATTATATTCGACAATATTAAATGATTACAGCTTTTGTGTTTCTTCTGCTGCTTCTTCAAATACAAATTAGTTTTTCTTTGTGTCTATTCTTCGAAAAATACCAGATTGTGTGGATTATTTAATATTTTGTCCTTCCTATTACATTAAATTTAAAGGTGCAGTGCGCAACTTTTCTGCCTACTTTTCTCCATGGCGATGTTATTGCTTTGCCTGGAATGTTCCGTGATATGACTTTAAACATTTCCATCTAGCGTTTATTCATAACGGGTGTTTCTATTGCTCAAAAAAACAATTATTCCTTCTGTGAACAGGAGCGACTCTCCACAGATCTGAACTGTAACGTAGCGTCGAGCTGTAACCTGCTTGTCTCTTTTGTCATAGATAGGTTTAATCTACGGAAGCCGAGAGGGGTCACAACAAACGCAAACGCCGCAACAAATACAAATGCGACAACACAACAAAAAGTCACAACACGCCAAAAAAAGCTACAACGGAAATGAGCGCGGGACTCTATTTTAATGCAAACGCCGCAACAAATGCAAATGCCGCAACACATAAAAAAGCCACAACGGAAGTGACCGCGGGACTCTATTTTAATGCAAACGCAAATGCCGCAACACATAAAAAAGCCACAACGGAAGTGACCGCGGGACTCTATTTTAATGCAAACGCCGCAACAAATGCAAACGCCGCAACAAATACAAATGCGACAACACAACATAAAGCCACAACACACCAAAAAAAGCTACAACGGAAGTGACCGCGGGACTCTGTTTTCCGATGGACCGATCAAGCGGCAAGTGAAGAAGAAGAACAACAACAATGTGAAAAGTAAAGGAACGGAGAAGTTGGAAACGTAAGTAAAAGTAAGTTATTGTTTTATCATTATTCATTTCATGATGTAGTTCTTCTTCTTCACTTGCCGCTTTTTAATGTGTTGTGGCTTTTTAATGTGTTGCGGCATTTGCGTTTGTATTGTGGCCTTTGTATTTGCTGCGGCGTTTGCATTAAAACAGAGTCCCGCGGTCATTTCCGTTGTAGCTTTTTTTGGTTTGTTGTGGCTTTTTGTCGTGTTGTCGCATTTGTATTTGTTGCAGCGTTTGCATTTGTTGCGACCCCTCTCGGCTTCCGTAATAATCTGTACTGTGGAACATTCTAGACAAAGTCAAAATATTTCCACGGAGACAAGCAGGTGGCGGACGCTCGACTAGAAATGTTGCACTTTTGAACTATAAATAAACTTACTTGAATAGTAGTTTTCCTAAATACTTTTTACTCTTAGTTAAGTAATTTCTTGGACCACTACTTTGTACTTCTACTTGAGTAATATTCATCTGAAGTAATGCTACTCTTACTTGGTCTCATTTTTATACAACACTCAAATGAGGGTTAAGTGTCTTGCCCAAGGACACAACGACATCACTCATCTTTGAGAGCTGGAATCAAACCACTAACCTTCTGATCAGTGGACAACCGTCATCCCTACAATATTTGGCTACTCCAAGTCGTCTCAAGTCTTTAACCTCAATTCCAAGTCAAGTCCGAAGTCAAATACAGGCAAGTCCAAGTCGAGTCTCGAGTCACTGCCCCATAAGTCCAAATCAAGTCCAAGTCGTCTGCTTTGAGCTTCAAGTCATTTCAAATCAACCAAGTATAGCTTTGGTTTCAGCAATTTCTATGAATTTTAAACTAAACTGCACTTAAAAAGTCATGGAGTATTTATATAAGAGTTTTAGAAATGCAAATCTTTCCTTTTAAAATGTTTTGACATGATTTTAGTGTGAATCATTACGGTCAGAATAGAAAGAATTAAGATTTAAAAGTGCAGTTATTTTGTCATGTAGTCTGCACTGAAACGGAAGGATCGTGTTCTATGTAGTTTCCCTGGGTTTTATTGTATAGTACTGTATATTACTGCAGTACATTTGATGATACCACATCAAAATACTTCAGTTACATCCAAAGTAACAAAGAGAGAAGTGGGACGGACATGTTCCAGTTTGTTTCTGTAAAATTAAGCACCGTGTGTATTAGGGGTGTGCAAAAATATTGAAATATCGATATATCATATTGTTTAATTTGATGATACAGTATTGATATTTTGGGCTACTGTACTGAAAGAACAGTATTTTTTAATATGTTTTACTAAATTATTTTGAGTAACTGCCACAATTGTGTTGACATTTTCATTGTTTTGAGTAAAATGGGTGATGTTCATATTCACTTTGCACAAACTCAGTGGACTTTTAGTATCCACAGCCATGATTTAGTCTTTGTTTTTCACTGAACCGTATCGAATCGTATTGAATCGAAAGTGCACTGTATCGAAAAACGTATCGTATCGTGGCCTGTGTATCGAGGTATGTATCGTATCGGCAACTTCTTAATGATACCTGCCCTCATATGTATCAACTGTAAAGAGAAAATTATTTTCTATAAACATTTTTTTTAGGAGAAGCATCAAGTCTTCTCAAGTCACAGGCCTAAAGTCCGAGTCAAGTCCCAAGCCACTGAGCTTCAAGTTCAAGTCCAAGTCAAGTCCCAAGTCTTAGTCCATTTTATCAAGTCTCAAGTCCGAAAAATAGTGACTCAAGTCTGACTCTGGTCTTCGTGCAGTGAGTAGTGAAGAGTGAACTAACCTGTGTGTGGGTTGATCTGGAAGTTTCTGTCCGGATGCATGAGGCGATAGCTCAGTTTTCCGTTGGCTCCGCTGTCCCGGTCCGTCGCAGTCACGTGACCAAACCCTGACCCGGCCGGCAGATTCTCCCTCACCGCCATGAAGACCCGCTCCTGGGTGAACTTCGGCGAATTATCGTTCTCATCCATCACCGATATCCTCACCGTAGCGCTCCCGGTTTTCTTCATTTGCCCTTGCCCCGCGCTCGCAAGCACCGTGAGCAAGTACATATCCTTAACTTCCCGATCGATGGCGCTTTTCACGAACAACCACCCGCTGTCCGCCGCTATTCCGAACCCGGCGGCGTCTCCGTCTGGTCTCAAGTGGTACGACAACGGACTGTAGAAACCGGAGCTTGGGCTTTCCCGATGCAGCGCTCTAACTTGTAAAAATCTCGTGTTGATCGGCGTTCCTTCCTTGAGCTCGACGCGGTAGGTTAACGTGTCAAAAACAGGTCCGTGGTCGTTCTCGGCTTGAACGTGCACCAACAGCATAAACGTCGCGCTAAGTTGGGGCACCCCGTTGTCCTTGGCGACCACTTGTAGATCGTACCGCGGGACGTTCTCGAAATTTAGGCTCCCAACCAATCGGATTTCGCCGGTTCCGCGGTCCAAGCTAAACGTTCTTTGTATTCCAACCGGCGACGCAAACTCAAAGGTGATATGCCCGTTAGTGCCTGAGTCCAGATCTTCGGCGAGGATGCGGTACACGACAGATCCGATTTCGGTGTGTTCCGGAAGGAGTAAGGATTCGGAGGAGGACGGGAGGAAGGTGGGGGAGTTGTCGTTGATGTCGGAGATGGTGACGTGGACGCGGGTTTGTCCGAAGGCGGGCGGGTTTCCGCTGCGAGCCTGGACTTCGAGGTCTAAAGACGGCTGCGCTTCGTGGTCCAGGGAGCGGTTGGTCCTCAGAGCTCCAGAGTCGGGGTCCACGGTGAAGTAGCCGGCAGGATCTCCAGAGCTGATGGTGTAGGAGACGTCTTTAGATGTACCTGAGAGAAGAGAGAGAAGAGATGTGTTTAATGTGATAATTATAAGGCTGTTTGATTTATTTTTTTGTTTTGTTTTGGGTTTTTTTTAGAAAGGGATGTTTAATACCAGGTACGGCAATCAATATTTGAGTAATAAATGGAAGAATTCTAACTACAGAGTTCATTAAAGTGTCCATAGCTGTTAAAAAAACGAGACTTTTGCACTATTTACCATTTATTATTTATTTATTACGCATGGGTAAGTGAAAAACACCATTTCGATTCTTCTTTCGTGATCTTTGTATGCAGACTTGACAATAAACTTTTTTTTTTGTGGCTAAGTTAGGTTACTTTATTCGTACCCGTAGGTAAATTTGTTTTGCAGATTTGAGAGGTTCGTCCAACATTTTGAACTTTAAACTAACTTGAAAACCACAGCTCAAGTTGGAACAGAGTATTTTGAGGTTTGGAGATGTAGGCAGACTTACTCAAACATGTGTGAATGAAACAAAACACAACTTCACGTATGCTTTTGTGGAGGTAACGATATTATAACATGGCTAAAAGCTCACAAGAGTCAATTTTGTGTAATATAGGACCGTTTCGTTATCCCTAATAGTGTTGTCACAATACTAAAATTTCACACCCTGTTTTGAGACAAAAGAAAACAAATGATGGAACTGATTCTGATACCATGATTATAATTAAAAACACTCCTTTTTGTAGACAATAGAAAGTGATTTTCAACATTAAATCCTAGTACTTTCTTTTATATTCCCATGTGGTCTTATAGTATTAGTCCAGTGTTTGAGTCGCGACCCTCAGGTGAGTTGCAAGAGATTTTTTTGGGGTCACCTTTACATAATTTACATATACATACATCTCCACGTACTCCCCGGTCCTCACTTCATCTTTTCATTCATTCATTTCATTTATTTATTTGTTTGAGACAGGTACAACAAAATTCAAAAACAATAACAAAAATAGTGATGTGTACATGAACATATTTGGGACCTGGTGCTCAAAAGGAGTAGGATGAAGTTTAAAAAAACATATAGAGTCCTACCCCTTCGCGCAGACTCGCTCCTCCTACGTTTTGGGCTTGCCTAACTAGTTTTCTGTGGGAAACACTGATTACTGTTTCCTTGTTTAAAACTCGAGTACCGTATTTTTCGGACTATAAGGAGCACTTAAAATCTCTTAATTTTCTGAAAAATCGACATTATGTTTTAATGCTTACAGACCTCAAACCTATTTTCACATATATTCCACTGAGTCGTGTTCTTTAGTCCGACAGCTGATGCGTTTTTTTTTTGTTTTTTTTAATCGCTTATACTTTATGCAAATTATCCATGTGGTTTTAAGTTTTGTTTCTTTAAAACGTAAACAAATGTGCACAAAGCTGCGCTAAACACATTATTACTCAATGTATATTTGAGTCCTGCTCGTAGGAAATAAAAAAGTCTCAAGTGTCGTCCATTTGTTTCGATTAATGAGCCTTATAATCTGGTGCGCCTTATGTATGAAAATAGACAGGAGAATTCAACATTATTGATCTTGCGCCTTATAATCTCGAAAAATACGGTAATACTAATTGTCCAGAGAGACACGATTACTCAGTCAACAATAAAATGTTCTCATTAATGTTCAGTAACGGTCACAAACTTATTTTGCGATTTACGAATAATGTCTATTGATTTGGGTCGCGAAGATTTGTGACTTTTAAAATATGGGTTCCCAGAAAAAAAAGTTTGTGAAACACTGGTGTAGTTTATTAGCTCTTATACTTGTTCTGATACAGGCTCAAGATCTTTCTAAAACTCTTCAGGAAACGCTCATTTCTGTCTTGTGAATGTGACTTTTTTAGTATTGATTCCTGCTCAAACGAGTATCTAGTTCCAATACAAGTTTTAGTATCGATTAGTATCAGATTTTCAATACTTTTGACAAGCCTGGTTCCTGGTCAAAGCGAGTTGGTTTGAATTACGTTTTGGTCAAACCGCCAAACATTTTACAAGGTGGTACTTTGGTCTGAAAACTTTAAGAACCACTCAGCTAACCCATATATCGAGCCATTACAAGCAAGGGCAGTCTCCTTAATTCAACTCATGAAAACTGCTGTGAGACCAATATTTGAGAGTAAAATATTACGGGCCCCAGCTTTAAACATATCAAGAGGACACCAAACCGCAAATACAAGCTGTTACCAAGTCGTGGCCATAATTTAGTTTTCAATAAAAGTCAAAAATGAAAATGTAAACACGGTGGAGGAGCAGAATGGAGTTTATGATGGCGGAGTTTGAGAGGGTTTGTGTATTGTGGCGCTTTGCCTATTTGAACAAGTGCTGCCGAGAGGAATTTTACTACGATACGGTGTGACTGATTCATGTACGTTCAGCTATTTAGTGCGGGCAGGTGTCCAGGGCGAGGGGCTCGGAGAATAAGGCCTGTAAATGAATCAATGTACAACGAAAATAGGGTTTGATGGTGGATTTTTGAGCTATTTGAGGTACTTTTTTGTTGTTTTAGGGTTGGAAAATCAGATACGAATCGATACTAAAACTAGTACCCTAACTACATATTCATTTGAGCAGGTACTGATACTAAAAAAATCACAGACACAGCACAGAAATGAGCCTTTTTACAATGATTTAATGTTGAAAATCATATTATATTGTTTAAATGAAGAGTGTTTTTTATTGTCATCGGTATTATCAAGTCTATTCCTTGGTATCGAAATCAGGTTTGAAATTTTAGTAGAATCAGGGTTGGAAAGTAACTAAATACTCCTACAATTATCCCCAATAATTGTAATTTTAAGTGAATTTTTAAACCTGTATCTGTAGTAATAACTGAATTTAATTCTGTGTGTTAAAAATGAACCCCTCAGCCTTTTCAGCAGGTTTCAAATAATAATAAAAAAATAAAATCACAGAGGCAGTGACAGCTTCAGGGTATCTTAGTAGAAGTCCACAACAGGTGCTCCTCAAGGCTCAAAAGCAAACATATAGTGAAAATGACCAAGCTTGTAATGTAAAAACTCACTGTGATAAAGTAAAAAAACGGTCAAAAAGTCCGAGGTACTCTGTTGTAATTTGAATAAAAGTCCTTTAATGGTTACATGGAACAAGCCAAAGCATTTTGACACATGTGGTGTCTTTGTCAGGCATGATAATAAAAAATACTTTCAGGTTTTGGTCCTGTTCAAATATTAGTGGAGTAAAAAGTACATGTACCTGCTTTCAGATGTAGTGAAGTAAAAGTCTTTAAAAATGTGTGTACAAGTACAGATACGTACATATGAGAATGAGATATTTTTATTACTTATTTTCCATTTTATTTGTACTTTAACATACACATTTATATACCATATATTTCAGACTATAAGGCGCACTCAAAATCTTTTAATTTTCTCAAAAATCGACAGTGCGCATTATGTATTAATTCTGGTTGTGTTTACTGACCTTGAACCGATTTTATGTGGTACACGGCGCTCAAAAATCTGTCAGAATATTTTAGTACAACTTTGGTAAACTACGAAGACGCACCGCTTGATGGATTGTCGGAGCATTACGGCTACTGTAGTCAGGAGCCTCATGGAGTAAAGAGCGAAGTCTAGTTCTGCGTCATCTCATCGCACAGTGCTGCTGTCGCCGCAGAAAGAACACTCATATTCCACTGAGTCGTGTTCTTTAGTGCGACAGAAGCTGATCGCATTAGTGCACAAAGAGCGAGCGTTTTTTTCAGAGCTTATAGTTTATGCAAATGAGCCATGTGGTTTTAAGTTTCCTTTCTATATAACGTAAACAAATGTGCGCAAAGCTGCATTAAACACATTATTACTCAATGAATATTTGAGTCGTCCTCGTAGGAAATAAAAAAAGCAAACTTAAATTCTCCACCCACATTCACATTCATAATCCACATTCACCAAGACAGGGAGGCAACACGGGGCAAATTACACCACGATCTGCCAATGGATCTTGGACGCCTGGGCTAAGGATCATTCTCAAGTGTCGTCCGTTTGTTTCGCTTAATGCCCCTTATAATCCGGTGCACCTTATGTATGAAAATAGACGAGAGAATTCAACATTATTGATACTGTGTCTAATAATCTGAAAAATATGGTAATTATGCCTTATTTGACACCTGTCTCTTGCTGTTTTTGCTACTTATTACCTCCGCCAAGGAGGTTATGTTTTTGCCGGCGTTTGTCTGTTTGTTTGTTTGTTTGTTTGTCTGTTAGCAACATAACTCAAAAAGTTATGGACCGATTTTGATGAAATTTTCAGGATTTGTTGGAAATGGGAAAAGGAAGAACTGATTTCATTTTGGGGGTGATCCGGAAGAAATCCTGGATTCTGGATCACTTTGAAATTCTAGTTAACATTGTGGTAAATGGGGCCAAAAATTTTGTTTCTCAATATCTCGGTTAATTATTGACCAAACCCCATGAAATTTGACTCAGGGATGGACAATGGGATCCTCTTTCATATTCCAAAGGATGATCCGGATCTGATCCAGAAGACTGATTTTATCGCAATATATATAAAAAATGGGGGTAGTCCTTGGCGGAGGTCTGCGCTCTCTGAGTGCTTTACTAGTTTAGATTTATTTTTACCATTTATATTTTTTTCTTTTTGTTATTATAATGTTTTGAGATGAGTGAGCTACTCTGTCCAAGTAATTTCCCTTGTGGATCAATAAAGTTTGTCTAAGTCGAAAGTCTAAAGCTAAGTCTATGTATAGTACTTGATTATTTTTACTACTACTGTACTTTTACTAGAGTACAAATTGTCAGTACTTTTCCACTTGTCAGAATTCAGTCTTTGGCAAACATAAGTGGGTCTTAATATCGCGGTCATGTTCGACGTCTAGCTGCAAGCAAATGAATGGAAAGGGTAAGTGAGGAGTGCATTTTCTATAGGGAAATAAGCGAGCTCAAGATAAAATATGCTTTATGAATGAAAGATTGGGAGATGTATTGTTTTGTTTTTCCTCATATCGGCTCAGAGCTCTCGCTGCTTCAACCAAACCGACATCATTTTCTCTCACGCGTTTCGTTTAAATGTCCTATATTGCGCGAAATCGATTCTCGTGAGGTTTCGGGCGTGTTATGTTATCTCATCATTCACACATGTTTGAGTAATCTTTTATTTTTATTAGTCTGTCTACGTCTCCAAAGCTCGAAATGCTCTGCTCTTAAATCCCAAATGATTCCAGTGAAGGTGTAAAGAGTTTAAAAGCACAGTGGGGCACTTCCTGTATTATCCCATGACCTCGCAAGGTGTTTTTCTGCTTAAGAGAAGAAGAACTCAGCCTAAATCTGCAGGGTTTGTGCGTTAAACGTGAATGAAACAAAACACAACTCCAGGATCAGAAAATAGTGTGATATGAACTCTTTTAAATTATACGTTCGACTAAGGCTGGTTCATAATTGTAATGTGATTTAAGTCGGTCTAATTAAAACTAATTTTACAATGGCTTTAACCCCTTAACGCTGAGGGTCACAAATATGCAACAAACCGTATGGATCAAGATATAAGCTGAGAAAGCAACTGCATTCCCCCCAGTGCCGGTTTGTGCATATGCAGAACCTTCCTAGGAACCTTTGGCAAGTACTTTTGCAACTATGCATGTGTTGCCTTTAAGGCAGTTGCTAATTTCATAATATTCTTTCAGTAAATAAGTTAATTAATTTCATGTTTAAAAATGTATAAAAAATCTTTGATGGTTTACATGATCGTTTAGAAGTATTTTTAAGAGGTATTTCATTGAATGGTTTAAATTAAGAAAATAGCGGAATGGGGGCACTTCCGGTTTTGGCGCGTCACTTCCGGTTTGCTATTTCCGGTTTCCATGCTAGACAGGCGGCATGTGGGATCTGACCAAGCCCCCAGGTTCCAAAATGGCCGCCCATTCAAGTCAATGGGCTGAGCTCAATGGCGCATGATCCCAGATTAGCCTAGCCCGGCTAGGTACTTCCGGCGGCTGTGGGCTGACCGAGCATGCGCACTAGTGCTCTTTTCTCCCACAGGCACACGCGAATGCACGCGACCGCACGCACGGTGCACGGGCTCGTGTGTCACATGATCGCTTTGACCAATCAGAGTGAGAGGAGCTAAAGCGGAGCAGAGCATAGCCGAAGCTAACGAATATAAACTGTTTTTTAAGACAAGTGAAGGATTTTGAGCTGAGAAAAAGTTTATGATCTTAAAATAGGTAAAAATCGCCAGCAAATCCGACATTTTTGAAAGCTGTAGGTGATCTGTCAGACGAACACGAGCAGTTTGTGATTACATTGCCTCTATGAGAAAAATCTTGTCTCGGCCCAGGGGATTTTTTCTGCTGAAGTTCCTGTGAGTGACACTACGTCAACTGGAGGCAGCTACAAGCAACAATACTGTATCCAGTTATTTTAATAGATCCATGGATCTGACAGCCTGGCCTCATCTTTGTTAATCCACCTTGGAGTGCATAACAGGCAATGCCGTGAGTTACTTTATGCATTTATAAGTTCCTGAACATTTGTATTTTCGTATTATTAAGTGAATATATAGTGTCTTAGATAAGATGAATGCACTTTGTTTTCGTGTTATATTCGGCTCAGATTGTAAGAGCAATATTGTTGTATGTTACAGTTTTCACCATCTGAAGAGGAAAATTAAACTTCCAAAACCTCTCCTGTGGTTCTTCTTCAATGGTTTAACTAAGTGTCACATCAAGGACATAATAATGCAACATACCCAAATTTCTTTTTTTTTTTTTTTACTATAGTCAAATTAATAATCTCAACTTAATTCACCATCTACTAAAAAGAACTGAACTGAAGAAGCAGTTTGGATGAGCTGCAAAACGTCTTTAACCAAACTAACTTTTGTCCAGTCGACAAACTGAATTTTCTCCTCATCTACTAAAAGGCAAAAACACACACAGAACATTTTTTCTATACAACTATATAAACTCAAGCATTAAGGGGTTAACCTGTACCCCATTTTTTTTTCCATATATTTGAGTAAAATCTTGCCCTAGTACAGATATTATGAGTGGGACAAGATACAGTTTCCACAAGACAAGACGAGACACGAGACGGGATCGACGAGAACGAGACAAGAAGAGATTCTGACATTTTATTCTCACCGTTTTTGGTTTTACTTTAGCTCTGCTTTTTGTAGCCTGATTCATCAGCCTGTCTGACCTCAGTCTGACCTCGCAGCATTAGGATTCATTTGCTCGACGGTAGGCGGGTACATTTTTTATTTAACCAATCGCTGCTATTTGGTCGTGACGTATGTGATGTGCCAGATCCCGGAAGAAGAACGTCTTTCCTCTTGAGAAAATTCACCAATTATTCTCTTTGTTTAAATCCTCGCTCTCAGGAATTCTTGAAAAACACAGAATGTTTGTCTTCGTCTACATCCATCTCGACCGCTTTGTTTACTGTTGTGCTGTTCCACAAAAAGGACTCAAACAGACGCTTGAGTTTGACGTCATGGCTTCACAGCTCTTTGCTGATTGGCCGGTGCGCGGTTTACAACTTCCAGGATTCTTGTGTATTCCAATTGCTGAACTAGTCGCTGGAGAGAAATGAAATTGAGCGGAAGCACTAGGTTTGTGACTACAGCTTAACTTTTTATCCAATTTAAACATAAAAAACAGGGGGAAAAAATCTCATAAGATCATTTATCTCATGTGTGCACAATTTTGTGGCAATTCTTTCTCACGAGATCATTGTGGCACGAGATCTTGTCTTGGTCAAAATAAGCCTGCCGTGTACTGTCTGCATCTAATTAAACAGCGTTAGCATCCTAGTTGTTGTTGTTGGCGGCTTTATAACAAAACTCCGCTCTGGTTCCTGAGTTGTCAAAAATGTTTGGTGAATAATTAGTTCAGATTGCATAAGGTAAGTGAGAAATATCTTTGGACCTCTGCAAAAAGTTTTTCATGTTTTTAAAAGTTATCAGTGACATTTAATAGAAAAATAATTCAGTTTCTTCCTCTAAACTCTGCTTCAGCTGCTTTTCCTGACTGACGTTTGGCTTTGTGGACCTCTCATTAAAAAGTCCAAAGTTGATTATTTATTTTGAGAAATTACTGATTCTTGATCTCAATTAAATTCTATTAATTTCACAGATTTATGGAAAGTGCTGATGATTTCAGGTGTCGTTAATTGGAATATTTTAAAAGACATGTTCACAACTAATTATTTTTCTGTGATTTTAATTTTTCTTTGCAGTCTAGACTTTTGCTGGTCAAATATGAAGTGATTACCAACTTTGAAATTTGGCATTCTGATATATATATATATATATATAGATATAGATATAGATATTTATATATTTTATTTATTTATATTTTTATTTATTTATGTGTTTCTCACCTTCCACGGTGGTTGGTCTCTCACCCTCATTCAGCTCGGGTCGTCTACCAGAGGCCTGGGAGCTTGAGTTCTGCGCAGTATCTTTGCTGTTCCCAGTACTGCACTTTTCTGGACTGAGATGTCCATTGTTTTTCCCTGTATCTGTTGTAGCCTCTTCCAGTTTGGGGGTTAATATATAATTTATATTTATTTATAATTAATTAATTTAATTTATTTATATAGTGGGGTTAGCATGTTAACAGTGTACTTCCTGATTTTCAGACAAGAAAACACTTTGTTCTTCCATGCAGACAGCAGACATTTTTTGTTTTGTTTTTCACCTCAAGAGCTGCTTATACAAAACATCACATCTTTCGGAGACATGAGCAGACTTTTGCCATCACGGTTATACTAACAACAACTAGCATGCAAACAGTGTACCTCCTGATTCCCCAACAAGAAAACACTTTGTTATTCCATGCAGACAACACACTTTTTTTTTTTTTTTTAACCTCAAGAGCGGCTTATATAATATATCACATCTTTCAGAGACAGGAGCAGTTTTGCCATCACGGTTATACTAATGACAACTAGTATGTGAACAGTGGACTTCCTAATTATTGGCCTAAATCACGCCATTTTCTGATCTATGTTTCAATGCTATTTCAAAAACACACCTGGAGTTGTCAGTTCACACGTTTAGCACACAAATCCTGCATATTTACGCTCGACATTCTAACACGACCTAAAGCTCACAAGAGTCAATTTTGTGTAACATATCACCTTTAAAAAAAACTAAGATTATTAAAGTGTGTACCTGTCTTGGTGCTGGCCTGTACGACCCCGACCACCGTCCCCCGCAGCACGTCCTCGGACACGGTGAAGTAGTACTGCGCCTGCTGGAAGACAGGGGGCGCCACCAGGCCGGCCACCACGCTGATGTTGACCCTGGCGTGCACAGGGGCCTGCAGACCCCCTCCGTCCTGGGCCGAGATCACCATGGCGATGACGGAGTTGGCCTTCCCGTAGACGGAGCGTGACAGGGAGATGACGCCTGGGAAAACAAACGGGGATTTATGTGAGGACGTGTGCAGAGGTCGGAGCGGCGGGTCAGGGGGGTGGGCGATGAGGAGGAGGAGGGTATCTCACGCTATATTCTGATTTATATAATGTCATTTCCTCATCATAAACATACCTGGAGTTTTGTTTCATTCAGTTTAAAAGTGCACTATGTAACTTTTTGGTTCGGCGTCTGAATGTCATCAAATTTCTGATAGTGAAGTTAAATATTCTTTTCTATTTCTTTTCACAAGAGGCCCTGAAAACCAAATCTCATGAAACGGCTGCGTTTGAGCCGGGCTAGAATCGTTACAGAGGGTGTGGTGACCAGACTGGCCCGCTGTTTGACTCTAAAATGAGTAGCAGATTAACTGATTAATTGCAAATAACTGGTTAACTTGTTTTAGCCCCAGTCCCAGCAAAAAACACACATCTTCATGAAGACCAGCCAGTGTCACAAACCAGGCTCCCAAGTCCACAGCCAACCTCCTCTCTGTCCACAGAGAGACCGGAAGAGGAGGGGGGAGTCGTGTCTTTCCTCTCGCTCCCTCAGATCAGAATGACCTGAAAAGTTCTGTGTCCCATATCAGACTCTTGTCAGGCCTGAATTAACTTTGGTCAGACTCAGACTTATTTCTCTTATGGAACGACTTGAGGCTTAATCAGGAGATGGAGCTGGGTTCAGCTCAGGATTTCAAGATAAGCCTGGACTTGTTAAGCGAATAAAGTAGTACTGAATGAACTGAGTAGCTGTTTATACACGACACTAGGCTCAGTTTAATATAAAACACAGTTGTATGCTCACACACACACCACTTTCATACTAGGCAATGTGGGTGAAGTGTCTTGCCTAAGGACACAACAACAGTTATTGCCACTGGTGCTCCCCTGTGGCTCCTGATTTTCCCACTGGTCTCCCATCCAAGTACTAACCAGGCCCGGTTCTGCTGAGCTTCTGAGATCTGACAGGATCAGGCTTTTACAAGTGGGTATGACTTGTAAAAGCCTGATGTACATTCAGGCATCACTCTGTCCCCTCCTCACCTGTGTCTTTGTTGAGAGTGAAGTACGGCGACGCCCCTCCCGGTACCGTCCTGTAGGTGACCCGGCCGTGCTCGCCCGAGTCTGGGTCGTGCGCCGTCACCCTCACCACAGACGTCCCCGGGGTGCTCTGGGTGCTCAGGCTCACGGCGTACGTCAGCGGGTAGAAGTTCGGAGCGTTGTCATTGATGTCGTCCACGTCCACCCGCACGTAGGCCACAGCGCTCAGTCCGCCCTGGAACCACACAGTTTACAGTTACACTTACATGAGGTGAACATGGGACAATAAACAACAATATCGTTTATTGTGATAAAAAGGTAGACAATAATCGGTTACATGCTGCTACTTCTGACATTGACGTCTGATTGTTGGAGAGGCAGCATTTCTATTTTTCATCAAACATCCCTGTACTTCAGTTATTTTTTTCCTTGGTTGGAGTAGCAGTACTTTAGCTTTTTTTTTAAACATTCTGCCATTTTGACACAAGGTGATTATGAATTAAACTGTGGCGGCGCTCTTGTCGGGACAATATTTTCACAGACTGGCAGCGTAGGAGGTGCGGTGCGCGCAGCATGGTTTAGACCTGGTTTAGACCTGGTTTAGTCCTGGTTTAGACCTGGTTTAGTCCTGGTTTAGACCTGGTTTAGACCTGGTTTTAGTCTCAGTTTAGTCCTGGTTTAGATCTGGTTAAATCCTGGTTTAGACCTGGTTTTAGTCCTGGTTTTAGACCTGGTTTAGACCTGGTTTTAGTCCTGGTTTAGTCCTGGTTTAGACCTGGTTTAGTCCTGGTTTAGACCTGGTTTAGATCCTGGTTTAGACCTGGTTTTAGTCCTGGTTTAGTTTTAGTCCTGGTTTAGACCTGGTTTTAGACCTGGTTTTAGTCTTAGTCCTTTTAGTCCTGGTTTAGACCTGGTTTAGACCTGGTTTAGACCTGGTTTAGACCTGGTTTAGTCCTGGTTTAGTCCTGGTTTAGACCTGGTTTTAGTCCTGGTTTTAGTCCTGGTTTAGTCCTGGTTTAGACCTGGTTTAGATCCTGGTTTTAGTCCTGGTTTAGTCCTGGTTTAGTCCTGGTTTTAGACCTGGTTTAGACCTGGTTTTGGGTTTAGTCCTGGTTTAGACCTGGTTTAGTCCTGGTTTAGACCTGATTTTAGTCCTGGTTTAGTCCTGGTTTAGACCTGGTTTTAGTCCTGGTTTAGACCTGGTTTAGATCTGGTTTAGACCTGGTTTAGTCCTCTGGTTTTAGTCCTGTTTAGACCTGAGACCTTAGTTAGTCCTGGTTTAGACCTGGTTTTAATGCTGATTTAGTCCTGGTTTAGTCCTGGTTTTAGTCCTTATTTTAGTCCTGGTTTAGTCCTGATTTTAGTCCTGGTTTAGTCCTGCCTCAGTCCTGGTTTAGCCCTGGTTTTAGACCTCTTTACGGTTTAGACCCTGGTTTAGTTTAGTCCTTTTTAGTCCTGGTTTAGTCCTGGTTTAGACCTGGTTTAGTCCTGGTTTAGTCCTGGTTTAGTCCTGGTTTAGACCTGGTTTAGTTTTAGTCCTGGTTTAGTCCTGGTTTAGTCCTTAGTTTTAGACCTGGTTTAGTCCTGGTTTAGTCCTGGTTTTAGTCCTGGTTTAGTCCCTGATTTTAGTCCTGGGTTAGTCCTGGTTTAGTCCTGGTTTTTAGTCCTGGTTTAGTCCTGGTTTAGTCCTGGTTTAGTCCTGGTTAGTCCTGGTTTAGACCTGGTTTAGTCCTGGTTTAGTCCTGGTTCTAGCAAAGACATATGAAGTTCATAAACACAGTGGTGCAATTCCTGTATTACCACATGACATCACAAGGTGGAACGGTAATTTAATTTAATTGGACTATTTTGCATTTCTTCTTGATTTCTAAAGTTACTCTTGACTACAATTTTTGACCACTTTACCCAGCGCTGCGAATATGTCGGACAACTGGAACTTCAACTCTGAATTTTTAAAAAGGAACAGAAAAATGAAGTAATAAAGTAAGCGTCTTGCCCCCGTCCAGGTATATTACGGTAAAACCTAAGCTTAAAATAGTCAGAATGAAACCTCCGTGTACAGTCTGCGTCTAATTAAAGTGTTTTATCAGGAAGTAAACTTATCTGTTCGCATGCTAGACGCTGTTCGAGCAAACTTGGCGTTACTCTTGATGGCAAAGCTCCACTCTGGCGTCTGAGAGCTGTGAAAAGCGCTAATAAACTCATCACAGTGAATCATCGCTCAGAATGTGTGAGGCAAAGCGAGGAAGATTTTTTGGACCAGTGCGAAAAAGGAACGAGCCAAGTTTTGTTTTTCCTCAGGTTCTTAAAGGTTCCGTATTACGCAAAATCTGACCCCCGCGTGCGTTAAAACATGTTAGAACGTCGTTGGAGATGTTATCGATTTGTCTGAAATGTTCCGCAGTATGGATTTAACCTTTCTGTCACCGTGGAAACCAAAACCAGACCAAGTTACAGGTCAGATCTGTGGAGAAGCAAAGTCAGAATGTTTGTTTTTCTAGGTATTTTTGTGCTATAAAACCGCTTGTAATTGAATAAATATAAAGGTAGAGCGATTTAAAGTCACACTGTGGAACATTCTGAGCAGAGCAATGATGTATCCATAGAAACGAGCAGGTGATGGACTCCCAATGAAAAAGTTACATAGTGCACCTTTATGTAAAAATACAGAAACATGGGCAAAAAAGGCAAGATTCAAGCCAAAGTCAAAGTATAAAAGTAAAAAATCTACATGTCCACACATAAGGTTGAATTATTGTTCAGTTGTAGGGAGTATTATCAGTTACATAAGAATGAGATGTTGTACAGTTGTAGGGAGCATTATCTATAACATAAGTGTGAGTTGTTGTGCAGTTGTAGGGAGTATTATCTGTTACAAAAGCATGAGTTTTCATACAGTTGTAGGGAGTATTATCTGTTACAAAAGCATGAGTTTTCATACAGTTGTAGGGAGTATTATCTGTTACATGAGGGTGAGTTGTTGTACAGTTGTAGGGAGTATTATCTGTTACATAAGGGTGAGTTGTAGGGAGTATTATCTGTTACATAAGGGTGAGTTGTTGTACAGTTGTAGGGAGTATTATCTGTTACTTAATGGTGAGTTGTTGTACAATTGTAGGGAGTATTATCTGTAACATAAGGGTGAGTTGTTGTACAGGTGTAGGGAGTATTATCTGTTACATACGAGTGAGGTATTGTAGAGTTGTAGGGAGTATTATCTGTATCTCTCACTGTTTGAGTGGAGCTGTAGAAGCTGGCTGGAGAATGAGCTCTTCTGTCCTTCTTTTTTTAAGTTTTGTTTTTCCTCAGGTTTTTAAAGGTTCCGTATTACGCAAAATCTGACCCCCGTGTGCGTTAAAACATGTCAGAACGTCGTTGGAGACGTTATCGATTTGTCTGAAATGTTCCGCAGTATGGATTTAACCTTTCTGTCACCGTGGAAACCAAAACCAGACCAAGTTACAGGTCAGATCTGTGGAGAAGCAAAGTCAGAATGTTTGTTTTTCTAGGTATTTTTGTGCTATAAAACCACTTGTAATTGAATAAATATAAAGGTAGAGCGATTTAAAGTCACACTGTGGAACATTCTGAGCAGAGCAATGATGTATCCATAGAAACGAGCAGGTGATGGACTCCCAATGAAAAAGTTACATAGTGCACCTTTATGTAAAAATACAGAAACACGGGCAAAAAAGGCAAGATTCAAGCCAAAGTCAAAGTATAAAAGTAAAAAATCTACTTGCTTAAAATTAAAATCTACTTAAAATGATGTTGGTCAACTGGCTCCACTATGTTTTCTAACATATAGGTGCAATTTCCCGTTCAAAGGAGGTGTTTCTACACAATATTATACAGCAGCGTTCGGTTCCCGAATTCAAGACATTGTTTACAATAGATTTTAATTAACCCACTTGTTGGTCGCTGTTGTAGCTTCTTGTGCTATTACTCTGTTTTTACCCTCTGCTACAAACTTGAGCTGCACAGTCTTGATCTTGATCGATGTTTCTTCTGCTCGATGAATAATGTCTGTGAAATGATGACGTATTTTTGACAGTAAAGTTCCGTCTGTGAATTCGTATTCGTACTGATGAAAGCGTAATCGTAAATTTTCATTTCGTGATTGTAATTCATGACGTCGTAATTTTTCAATTCGTATTCTGATGGATAAAATACACACAATATATTTTATGTACGACTGGACTCATTTGAGAGTTTACAAATATTTATTTTATGCGCAACTACAGCCAAATACGCACGGATTTCTATTTTATGCGCACGAATATTTTTGACAGCTTTCTTACTCCATAAGCGGCGCTCTGTTTACCTCCGGAGGTCGTGGAGTTGCTCAGAAGTGACCGAAGTATGTTGTTTATGCTTAATATTTGGGATTTTATATAGAAATTGAGAATGGCAGGAGAAGCTACGATCGGTCAGTGGAGCTTTGGTTTATCGTGAACCAAAAAAATAATTAAGTTGGATTTGAAAAGTAAAAGTACATAGAAGGTCTCTGATGAGAAGCAGGTGGACCGAGCGAGTGAAAGAAGAACAGGCCGACAATGAAAATACAGAGAAACACGAAGGATTGAACTGACCCAAGGTTTTATGGTGTAACGAGTTTGGGGGTTTTGAAGAGTTAGTTGTTCAGGGTTTTAAACTTTATTGATTCACAACGGAAATTATTTGGACCCAGAAGCTCACACATCACAATATAAGATAATAAAAAAGAGTAAAAATATATAAATAGTAATAAAAATTCAGAATAAGTAGCAAAATTAGCAAGAAACTGGTGTTAATACATAAGATAATAGCTGTAGGGAGTATTATCTGTATCATAGAGGTGAGTTGTTGTACAGTTGTAGGGAGTATTATCTGTTTCATAGAGGTGAGTTGTTGTAGTATTATCTGTTAGTTTGTACAGTTGTAGGGAGTATTATCTGTTACACATAAGGGTGATTGTTGTACAGTTGTAGGGAGTATTATCTGTTACATAAGGGAGAGTTGTACAGTTGTAGGGAGTATTATCTGTTACAAAAGGTGAGTTTTGTACAGTTGTAGGGAGTATTATCTGTTACATAAGGGTGAGTTGTTGTACAGTTGTAGGGAGTATTATCTGTTACATAAGGTGAGTTGTTGTACAGTTGTAGGGAGTATTATCTGTTACATAAGGTGAGTTGTTGTACAGTTGTAGGGAGTATTATCTGTTACATAAGGGAGTTGTTGTACAGTTGTAGGGAG